CCACAGTCACCCCCCGTCTGTGGGCCGCCAGTTGATGGTCGCTGCTGTAGTACATATGCCAGGCCTGTAAGTGGCGCTGTACTTCCGCCACAAAATACACCAAAAGCAGCGAAGAAGACCCCCCGAGCATGGTTGCCATGGTTGCCCTTCTGTTTATTCTCCGCGATGGATTTAGAAACATGTAGTTCATGTAGTTCTCCATGTCCACTTGTTGCTGATGGTTGTGGTAGAGGAGCTGTAGATTTTGCACTAACATCTGTAGCATGGTCAGTAGCGTCTTGAGCACGTAATCAACCCTGTGATCCGCCGTTGTTGTTGTTGTTGGCGAAACACGCGGGTGACGCGGGGGTAAGCGGCAGAGGTGGGGAGAGGCGGGGCTATGGCGTCATCGTTATCAGGAAATGATCGTATAGGACGTACACACGGAGCCGCTTGGCCCCCCAGAGCGTTTTCGCCGCAGATCTACCCACCTTGGGACCCGTTACCGTTTGAGGGCTCCGTTTCCGCGGTTCCGTTACGGCCTCGTGTGGAAGAACCGTCCATATGATAGTGAACTGCAGCGGATACAACCCGTTTCGTCTCTGTGTAAACGTGGCCTAAGCAAACTGCTAAACCGTCTTGTTATTACACAAACACACACAGGAAGTAAGACAGTGTGTCTGATGTGTACTTACCCACATATATTCAGGATAGTCTTTGAGCCTATTCAGTGAACTGAAGACAGTCTTCCGGTCCTCTTCCCACTTTCTTTTGCAGAAGACTATTTCTAGGAAGTACCAGGTCCAGCCAATCAGAGGAACCTTCAGTAACTCGTGTTTGGCTAGCACTTTTGAACTCTAGAGAGGGGAGACAGGTAGACGTGTATAATGACAAAGGTTTGATTTCTCCCCATCAGGAGTAGAGATGGACTTCATCTTGAAGAGCATCATCTGAGATGACAAGTAACTAAATCAACAACAAATTCAGTTCCTTTTTGCGACAGTACTGACCCCTAGGATGCCATATCTTTCACACATAGTCCAGCCACACAGGAAGTCGATCTCATAGTTGTGGTTGAGGATGGTGATGACATGCTCTTTGCCAAACTTGTCCACCGTAGCTTGGTCGGTGTATAGTGTGCATTCTGTGCCCGACCACCACTCCAGCAGCATCACCAGCTCTGCACAGAAAACAACACATCATGCGGGGCACTGGGAATGTTCGAACAACACTTCATCATTTATAGGATTGACGAGGAGAACTAATTACAAGTTCAAAGCATTTTCCTCTTAGTAAATGTCAGGGTTGCTCCTCAGTTTTGCTGAGTAACACAACATTGACCCATGCCACATTATTTCCTCATCATGAGATATCAGAACACTGCAGCTGTATGGAGCTATTTTGGTAGATGTAATGTTTGAGCCTCAGCTGCTCCCATTAGCTCTGCATGAGCAGCCAGACAACAGCCAGCCATAGCTACTTACTATAGCAGCTAGTAGGGGTTGTACTTTAAATCATAAGTTTGAGCCTTTGGACAACAATACATTTTTCGCTGAAAACTAAATCTTCCATGATACACTTTGGATTTAACTTGAATCTCAGGCCTATATCATACGAAACATGCTTATTTAACAACATATCTTGCCTGTTCCCCTTCGCTAAGCCATTAGCACCAATTGCTAACGACGCCAGGACTGTTTTAATTTAAGAATGAGGTGCACTTGGACAGAAATGTTGAAACAGACGTGACAAGGTAAGGTCAAAATAAAGGCCTATCTTGAAGAAGTTGATGTGTATCGATGTTTTCACTTTGCATTGATTTTCATTGATCTGGAGATTTATCTCAGAGCTAAAAGGAATAGAATTGTTGACATGAATTCAGCAGGTTGCCAAGCCAAGTGTCACCCAAAGAACCTGGTGCTTTATCTTGTTTACACTATTTTCAAAGAACAACATAACTCTTAGCGACAAAAAAGGAGTATGATAACTCACGACTCCAGAGGGAGTAGGCGAGCCGGCAGTTGATTATGCGATAGAGCCGCTTGTTGATGGGCCAGAGGATGCAGGTGCAGAGCTGAATGAAGTTTATGATGAGGCCGCTCACCACGAACACAAAGCCCATCAGCAGCTGCAGGATGAACAGGCTCTTCAGGTAGGCCAGCAGCGCCATGGCTGAGGAGCCTGGAGAGCTGAGTGGGCTCCTTTCTAAACACAACGACCAACCTGAGAGAGGGCGGGAACAGAGGAGGGAAGGCAGAGCCAAAGCAATGAACCTTACTGACAGAAAACGGTAAAAATAATGGGTCCTGGTTGACTACATTTTTCTGCAGGCAATATTGCATTCAGTAATAAAAAAACTAACAGTCTTTCTTACCACGGTGGGATCCTTTTACAAGCCGCGTTTACACGGTCCGTCAGCCAATACTACAGACCTGATGTTGACAGAGAAAACAGAGGATGAGCCAATAGTGAAGTAAGCAAAATGAAACACAACAGTACAGTGCCATTACAGTAGAGTTGAATTAAGTGCACGTATCATCAAAAAGGTGGTTGATACAGACAAGAGGACGCCAGAAACAGCTGATGTCGTTGTGAGTGTGGTCGGTGGTTAAAAAAAAACCAGAAGACAGATGCTGGGTTAAACTGTGGCACACGGCAGGTTGGGTAATGTGCTATTTTAACACAGGCATTGCATGTTGGATTGTCAAAGAGCATTGTTACTCAGTTTAGATTTCTTGTGGCCGTACTCAGCCTGAACTTTCACAAGGGCGAAGTGATAGAAATGACATTATATGCCACATTTTACACAGAACTACGCATTTCAATGAAAAGCAATACTTGAATACAGCCATCACATTTCAATAGAGTATGGTGACAAAGAGTTGATCACATTTCAGCTTTAGGGTTTATATTTTATAGTTGTAAAAAAGGGTTAGCAAAGATCTTAGAAACTAATTCTCAATTCCCTATGCTACACTGAGTTGGTATCAAGGCATTTCTTTTTATAAATAATAGGTATGAGTTATATAAAGTCTCATCTATTCTGATGTGAGAGAGCTTTTCTCCATTTATATTATTTTAAGTTGACTGTTGATCAGACAGAACAATAAAATAATTGTCGGGGCTTTTGCGAGTTTATTTCGGGAGATTCTCTTTCCTCCAAAAGGTAAGTTAACACATTTATATGCCCCTACGCATGTTTTTCCAACATACCAATGCAACACACATTAAATATTTCTACCATCTTTCTCTGCACAGCATGCTAGGAAAGGCTCCACTCCTCCACGACACAATAAGATGAAGCAGGTATGGAGATGAATGGACAGGAAAAGATGGATCTGTACCACGCTGGCATCTGCTGCGTTTATACTTCTTGTATGCCGGCCGCCCGGCCTTAAATGGACTGTCCCCACATCTGCACCAAAGCCCATTACAGCGTGGGTCAAGCCAGTTTAAAGCTTTTCTAAGAAACTTTCTAATCTGAGTAGTGCTTTTGCAGCTCTGAGTAGCAATCTGTAGACACCCCAAATCAACTTTAGGACTGCCAACTGGGCAACTCCACCTGTTTTGTTTTACATGATAACCTTTTCACTTTTAGTTGTTAAGTATATGGCCATTCAGAAAATGCCTGTTATGTAATTGTTTTAATAAAACATCAAAGTAAAGCAACAATACTGAAATGTATTATAGATCCATCTGCTTTTCTTTAAAAACAAAAAGGGCGTCAGTTTAAAACTCAAAGATGTTTAATTTAATATGATATAAAAACAGAGAACTGTGGAAAATGCCTACATTTGAGTGTCTGAAACACAGCATTATCTGCCATTTTTGCATGAAAATGGATAGATAAGTATTTTCTTTTTATGGTGATTAACTTATCAAATTCACAATTTTCTATATTTTTAACCAAAACAAAATTAAATGATTCCATGTCCTGTCATCAATCATTTCAATACTTTTTTGTATTTTGTCTTTGCCCTTTTATTGTTTCAGTATCTAGATACTTTAGGAATTATTTATCATAGTCAGTTTTGGTGTTGTGACAACACTAAGCATTATCTGTGCAGTCCTAGTAGCAACATGTACAGACCCCTGCATTCACTGATACAACTGTTTCAGCCATCCAGCCAAAACGAGGCTGTATGGCGCTGCTTTTAGAACAACAGACTGTATTCTAACCAACAAGGGAGAGATAAGAACATTTGCGTGTCAGTCTGCATGTCACAATGACATACGACTCTGCATCCACAGAGTCTGTAATCACTACTGTCTTTGCTTTAATTGCTCGTGTAAAATTGTACACAATTGGAACTAGATAAAGCTAACAAAATGGATGACGGTGAGCAAATTGAAAAAAGACGTGGTAACGTGAGTTGATTTATTTACCTTGACAAAGCATTTAAATATATTGGATCAGACACCCAAGACGTCTTCATTTTTAAGCAGATTTACTGTTTACAACCATGTTTTATCTTGAGTTTGTATCATATTCTTTAAAGCGCAATCTCATATTGAACCACAAAGTTTACACAAGGTCAGTTGATTGCAGGCAATAATGAGGGCAACTAGTCTGATCCTTTGTAATAAATCCATTTAAAACACAAGACCTGGGTGTAAAGGAAATTAAATCTTACGTGCACATCCACAGAACTTCAGCTCAGTCTCTTGGGCAAACAAACGTTAGTGCCTGTGGTTAGGAGGACACACTGACACTAAAGTGTTGAAATAATGTCACGTGTGCCATCTATCGCCTGATGAATATTATTATCAGTCCAAAGATGTCTCTGCATTTTGTTACCGATATGGCATTAGTGCCACTGCCTACTTAAAATGGGAGAGAGTGAGTTGGAAGGCTTGAGTTACACTGTTGCATATTTCACTTCTGGCTCCAGTAAAATATTTTTGGAAGGTTGGCTCCAACACTGAAGGATAAAGAGGACAGCATGTAGATAATACTAACAACTGGTCACACATGGTATTTTGTTTCAGTCGGTTTGGTGATGATGGACAGAAGTAGGTGAATGTGCTGTTGACAATACAAATGAAAGTCTGAAATTAGTAGTGAGTGTTTCTCAGTCAGCTCCCAGTTTAAAATAAGACTCATCAATAAATGCACTGCAGTATAATCTACTGAATTGTCTTAATGTGAGATCCTTTAAAGGATCAGAGGGGGATCTTTAAAAAAATAAAAATACTCCAAGACAACTTCAAATTCTAATTTAATGTTTTCTGTCATTAAATGACATTGCTGCCCAAAAGTTTATATGCAACATGCATGCTTGAGGTAGGATTTTCCAGCAAAGCAGAACAGTTAAATACACTTGTTACATGGATGCCAAACATCCCATGACCTTTGTTCTCATTTTATTCCACTCTTCTTTTTGTCACTGTACACGGGGTCATACAATTCAGAGCAACCAGGCATTTTTGCTCAAGTTAAAATGGACGCCTTAATTCACAGTGCCTACAGCAAAAGTACATCTTATACCTGACTTTGTGTGCACTCATACTTTCTCCTAAAATAACCAGCAGCACTCAACATATTTGCTTTAATAATTCAGCTTGAATGGCCAACCAAGACCACAAGAGAATCTTAGTCCAACCCATTGACTGTATAACACAGACATAGTCTTCATGCCGCCACCCATAGGTTGCTGAATAGCCGTTGTGAAACTCAAAAGTAGATTGCTTTATCTGTTGTCATCTTTATATGGCCATCTCTGCCTAACTCCCAGCTTAGGATGTCAATAAACTAGAAATCGAGTAGTCAACATGGTCGTTTGGAATGAAGTGGTGAGGCAGAGCTGGTGATCTGAAAGGTCCTCAAATACTGCTATGTTTTAATGTGTGTATCATAACAATGGATTGTATATCTAGTGTTGGGAACCATATTTTGGTTCCAAATCCCAAATGCCAGGTACTGGGGAACCTAAAGAATAACATGGGGCTTTGCAAAGCGATACATTTTAGACCAAAAGAGTTGCCGGCACAGGAGGCCGTGCACCATGGGCCACAGGTTTTCTTCTGTGCTATTTGTTTGTGTTTTGAACAGTATGTTGTATATATCGATTGCCATTTCCTCTATTAAGTTAACAGGCTTTCTTGTGTTCTATCATCCACTAAATTACACATATTTTATGTTAAACATATAATTAGGATTCTTTACATTTGGTAACCAATCAGTTGCAACCAAGATATCTAGCCTACTTCGTGGAACAGTTATGTAATAGCCTTGTCATGCTAAAGCAACCAATCAGAATGTCTAATTGTTTGCCTCACCTTGCCATTGGTCACTTGACGCTAGGCAGAACTTCAAACACAGTGTTAATAGTCTCCTCAAACAACTTTACATACGTTTTCCTAAGCTGTGTGACTTTTTTTTAAATCAGCCATTATCAAATAATTGACATATCTTTACACCAATGTATTTTTAGTTTTAGGCATACACAGCAATACCGACTGTATTTTCTTGATGTATTCCCACAATAAATAATGAGTACTATGTATTTATAATTATTAAGCCAAAAGAAAAGCATACCATTGTACATTATATCTATATCTGCCTAATAGGTAAACCATAATGTGTTGTGCAAAGCTGAAGTGTAATTGATAGGATCAGTGCTACGGTTCAGCTTTTTAGGTTAGTAGTTCAGTATTAAGAGAAGCAAGTGAAACCAGGTTCACACCTCTCTGCCCAGTAACATTATCCCCAGTTAAAACAATGCAATGACTTACACATTATAGTGTAAATCAAACCAATGTAATTGTTCCTGTGTTGTGGCAGTTGAACCAAACTAATGGAATAAAAGACTTTCAGAGAAACAAACATTGAGTTGAACTAGAAACAGCCAGTGAAGGTCCACCTTCCTTTGGGTGCAGGCCCACACAGTAACCCCTGAAAGATTAAAGTTGCTGACTGGGTTAAAGCTGCTTAAGGCCGGAGAGCTGCTTCTACTCTACATCACCAGTGTACAGCTTTTATGCCAACAAATAACTACTGCATGCTCGGAGTCTCTGTTGTGATAAGAACTGTTCTAAATTACATTAAAGACACCACTAAGTACAGGAAAGCTTTTGCCACATCCTGGCAGACACTGCACTTTTGTCAAGTCATATTAATTGTTCTCCATTCGGCTTCCAAATGGTATAAACAAATAAGACTTTAAGTGCTATGCTGATTACTATCTCTTTTTCAAGTTCTATTACATCTGGTAGGGTTACTCCTATCCGTGTCAAACAATCTCTCTTGCATTAAACTTACCAGTAGACATAGTAGGCCATTGCCATGAGCACTAAGGCACCACACACCCCAGTGAATATCGTCACAGCACCCTGGTTCAGCATTTTGGCTCCTGGTATCTCACCCAATCAAAGCCAGAATTTAAAAAAAACATAAAAAAGTATTCTGGTCGAGAGCAGTGGATAGTCACAG